AAACCATATAAAAACCGAGAAACTCGCAATTAAGATAAAAGTAGACATACTACTAAGAAAGGAAGATGATCATCATTAGGTCAAAGCTTTTAGATAAACCTCCGATGCTGTTTTATACTTGTGCTGTCTAAATACTGAGAATTCACAGTTTCAAAGCACTTTTTGAACATTAAGCAATCCCAGCAATGTCCTTGCAATACCCGCCATTCACACAACCCTCTTTTTACAGAAAGAACACCTACAACAGAAGGGTAAAATGACATGCTTAAATCTCTATTAGCCAGTGGCTGAGGCAGCGTTTATCCAGTTTGCAATGGCCTCAAAAACCGTCATCCCAGAGAAAGGTATATCCAAGCCACAAAAGGGGACTCCTGTTACCGAGGAGTTTGGAGCTGAAAGCATGTCCACTGACAGCCCCAGTGCACGATTACACAAAGCTTAACACTAAAAATTAAGGTATGGAGGAACATACTTTCTCATTAAAACAGTGGAAGGAGTATCAGGAAACTGAATGTAGCTAGTAAAATAATATTTGTTCATGATTAAATTGCTCTAACTTCAAGCTCAAGGACTGGAAAGGCTTCAAAAGCACTGGAAAACTATGCATTATCTGAAGATACACTGACTCAGTGGTGAATGACAGCAGAACTCTGAGTTGGTTGTGTTGTTCATGCAAAGTAAAAGCAGGGACACTCTTAGGAAAGAGGAGCCATCAATCTGTGACATAAAGGGAGTTGAGAGTACAAGAGGGACACTCTTCAGATCAATTTGTCCTACTGCCAATTGGAACATCCAGCCTGGAACCCTAAATGTTTGTTTATTAAAGAGTATTCGTGGTTTCTCCTTTGAATTCATATAAAAATTCTGAGCTCAATGTTATTATTGTGCAGACTATTTTTATTCTAAAAATTCAGAAGTAGCGATGCACAAAGAACGGACAAAGGAAGGTAGATTTCGATTACCAGCTACTTCCACCACTCCTTGCTTTAGCTGAATCATCCTTGAATGTAAAATGTGTAGCTATAGCTAAGTAACACCATGCATCTTTGAAAGAAAATTTCACATAGCATACTTGAAGTGTCAAGCCCTGTTCTGTGTTTCCAGAATTGAGTAGAACGTAGCTCTGTCCCGCTGTATACTACAGACAGCTTGCCAAGCAGGCAGAACATCACTACATGCTTAAGCAGGAGTTTTCATCCAAGGGTCAAAAAAGCATCATACAGTTAAATTTCACAACATTTCTGCAAGAATAATATTATTCAGTTCCCTTTTTGAAGAGGAGCAAGAAAAGCCATTGTGGCCACAGAGAATAAAATCACAGTGGTCCCGGATGCAGAACAGAAGAGAAACTTGTTTGCACACCCAGGAGCATCACAAGAATCCTAGTGACATACCAGATGCCAGGGGATTTTTAACTGTGCCCCTCTCTAATTGAGGATGAAGCACACACCAACACCATTATCTGGCCTGAAGATACTGGCTTACAAAATATGGAACAAACAATAGGAACAGATGCTCATTTGGCCAGATTTCAATAAGCCTCATTAAAACCAAACACCCTGTCTTTGGAGCTCAGGTTCATGCTACAGTTCTACCTTATTTAAGCATCTAGCACCAATTCCTGAGAAAGCTGTCCACTTGTGGTTGCACACCAGTAGTATCATAAAAAGAAATCCTCTCACAGACATTTTTTGGTTTCTACAGAGACAAGCAGGAAGATTTTATATATACGTGTGTGTGTACACGTATATAAAAACACAGTTAGAGATTGCATTTCCTTTTTAAAGACATTAGGTTAAATATACATCAGACCTGTTGATCACTCAAATGCAATGGGCAACAAGATGCCAAAAGATTAATGGAAAAACTCCTGAGGATGGAAGAGAACCAATGTTACAGATCACGCAGGCGACATCTGTGCATTACAATATATAATTTTTAATTCAAGATCCCACCTCTTTAGTCAAAACATGAGCACACTTGAAACAATTTCTACTGCTCCTTATTTGTTTCTACCCAAATATGCCCAAGTCCCATCAATGGAGTTTCAGAGGACAAATACCAGAAAAGCATGGCTAAGAACAAAATACAAAGATTCATCAGAATGTGACATTCTACTTTTATTTTTAAATGCCTGAATAAAACTAGATAATCCATAGGTTTCCAAAAGCCACTGAGCACCTGGCTGCACAGTCAGCATAACATTGTATAGAAGACGGGGCAGACAAGGTTTCCTAACAAACAGACTTCCCTGAGTGGTCAAAAAGACAGGAGCCCTACACTACTCTCTGTACTTGAAAATGCATATATGTTTATTATAAACTTCTTTTCCCTCCATTTTAGAAAGAATGCCAGTTGTTAGGTTGGTAAGTTACACCTGACTGTTCTGTGCAGAAGCATTCCTTCACAGGAGAGCTTGATGGATGGACAGTGCTTCAGTCTGAAAAAAGATATCTCAATATTGATGTGTGTGGCCTCAAGGGAAACCGCACATCATTCTTTGAACAAGCTTTAGAAACTTCAGGCACATGATCAGCAAATGGCATTAATACAGTCTTAACAGAGCACAATTTTCTTTTTTGCAAGTAGGTGCAGAATCAGAAACTCTGTTTTCGGAAAAAGCATCGTCCCTTGCAGACTGACTGACACTTCTGACAAGCATGTAATAATGCTGACTGTGGCTCCCAGTCAGGGCTAATACTGCACTGCAGAATCAGAAAAGGTAAATCATGATTTCCAAAGTAACCCTTTTTGTTTTTCAATGCCAGTTTAAAAAAAAAAACAAAAAACTGAAACCCCTTTTTCAAAAGTGCTGTAGATAAAGAAACCCACAGTTACACTTTCCAGTATTCACCCTCTTGACAAAACATTTTAAAGTCCAAGGCTGTAAGACACATCAATCATGGAGGATAAAACTCGCCATGTGCATAAGGCTAGAAGAAGGCCTCTGAACTCCTTAAATCCCATTTAAGCCCTTCACCTAGGGAACATTTAACAGTTGTGCCATTTGCCTGTGCCATCACTGAGCCATCTGCATTTAGCTAACTGGATTTATAAATGCTTCAACACTTCTGGAATTTGAAAGACAAGCTTTCTTAGAACCTATTTCATTTTGGTTTGTAGCTGGGAAGGAAAAGGAATACAATAGCCAGGCAAGCTAGTACTAGGGGAAATATATCCCCAGAAAAGTCTACGTTTTTTCATATATATATATATATATAATCTAAATATTATAAATATGTATGTGTATGTGCATATATGCATGTATACATGTATATAGATGTTTTTTTCATATACATATGCGATGGCAGATTGTCCTACAGCATATATACATATATTTTGTCCTACAGTATATAGAGACACAGTACATATGCTTTTTCATCTCTGGGGTGATGGTTCAAATTCATCCTCAATAACATGAAACAAGTCTTGCTGTTCCTGCCTTGAGCCCTACCCACACCTCTCACCATGATCCCACTGAAACATAGTTTTAGAAGAGTTTATTATCTGGGGCATTAGGATGTTAAAGGTATGTCATTTCAGTTAAAAGAGGCATCATGTAAATTAGCTGTAGTTCTTGCACATCCTTGCTCCTTAGTAAGATGATCAGGTCAAACAAAATGCTATAAAGCAGATGGGGTTGAACAGGTTTACTCTAGCTAGCTTGCTGTGAGCTGCTTCACGGCATCAGAATGATGCTGTAGGCCAATATAATTCAGTCAGAGCTGCTCCGGTGCCTTGCTCAAAGAGTTTCACCTACTTTGTATCATAAAGCACCTTAGGAAGCAGTGTGTGATACCAGTCATCTTAAGCTAAGAATGGAGGTGTTGGTATTAAATATTAGCACTTTGTACCAAGATTGGTAGCTTCTCTCAGAAGTGCTTCTCCCCTGGAAGGTAACCTGGCATGTCAAGCACAGTTTATGAGCACTAAGCCACCTGCAAGCACCATGACAAACTTTTATGATGGCCAATTCCTTGACAGGAAACAAAAGTAATGGGACATCCAAATTTCACCAGCAAAATACCAGCAAAGATTTACCTGGGAAATTATCTTAATGGTCAATACAAAAGTGGGCCCCGAAGGGACAAGGCATCTTTAACAACCATTCAAAGTATGAAAAAAAAGGACTTCAAGAAGATCAGGGAATAAATAACTGAAAGAGAACACAGGCTTTTGCGTGGTCAGGTTTGTGGTGACAGAGGAGCAACAAAATGCCAGCTGGTTTCGGTAACAGATGGCTGCATGCACTGATCTGTCCTGCATGCCCATTCTAAACTTCCTTTCAGTGGAAATACAAAGCTTACACAAGGCTAAACACATCCTTCGCGCAGCCTTTCTATACATATTGCATCGCAATTCAAACGTTTTCCACTCACAAACAGCCCTACATGTATGTTATTTTACTCTAGTTACACTGAATTTTAAGAAAAGAGGGTGACTAATGGCACCTCGTCTTTTTCAATCACATCTACTACAATTCTCAAGGAGTGACTTTTCTCTGATGGGCTAATATATCCATTTTCTTACCATTCTGACTGCCATACCTCCCTCCTCCCTTTCCCTTAAATACAGCATTCACTGTATTTTAATTGAAAGGTCTTTCTTTTTGCACATCCCCTCCGGTAGCTAAGAAAGGGAACGATGATACAAAGAGCTCTCATGCAGTATTTTTAGCATATATCTGGACATTTATCATTTGAAGTTGCCACAGCTAATTACATGGCAAGCATAGGTCATCCCACTGGAAAAGCCTATTACTTGTATAGCAGAATGAACCCTTCAATCCTAGACAGCTCAGGACTCAAGTAATAATTTTGAACAGAGAAAAACAGCAAGTCTGAAAACTCTACACTGAAGGACAGAAAAGCCTACCCAAAATACTTGCTTTCTGTTTAAATATTTTTTTCTAACTGTAATTTTTAACAAGAACTTTTCATTGATTAACAATGAACAATCTGCTAAAAAACCCTCAAAACCAAAGCCGTTCTCTTACTTACTTTGGCCACACAATTTTCAGTCTTCATAGCAGTGCTTCCTAGACATACTGTTTCCTGGTTTAAGCACAGTCTGGCACAGCTGTTGTAGGTCTGCAGAAAGATTAAAATGGTTATGAATAGAAGAACACGATTTTCTTTCAGGCACCACATTTTTGGCACAGGAACCCACAACAACTCTACTACATTTTCTTTTTCCTAAGGTGTAAACGTTTCGAACCAAAATAAACTAGTTTACAGCAAAAGCCTATGTTGAGGGCATGCACGTCCTCTGAGAAGCTATGCACAATTTTATAGTTCTAAGATACAAAGAAAAAAAAAAAAAGACTTTTCTGCTCTTTTCCTTTGAAAAAGGAAAAAAAATCTGATCTCAGTTGTTCAGTCTTTCACAAAGTGCTGCATGACTGAACAACTAAAGCAAGGTGATTTCTACACGCTAGTTATCACAGTGTATGTCAAATGTTAATAAACATCCCCTGTCTTTATCAGGTAAAATACATGGGGACAGTACGAAGCTTAAAATCAGAAGGGAGCAAATGCAGACCACATCTCACTTGTATTTAATCTTCCCAATTTGGAAAGCTTTTTCTTTTAAAGTAGAATGTCTTTTTTCTTTAACTCATACACTGTCCTGCCCAGGGGACCCTCAGCTGAGGCTGCAGACTTTGGAGCCTTTGCAGAACACACTACTCGTAGTCTCTCCCTTTTTTAAGGGCAGCATATGAACAGTACTTAGGAAGTGTGCTTAAAATTATACTCTGGTTGATTTGGCTATTTAAACTAAGATGCCTGAAGAACTTGGGAGTTTCTAATGGAGGCTTCCCACCCACCCCAACTTTCAACACCTTTTTAATTACTACTTGATTAAGCTCACATTTTCTAGTAGTAGTAGGAGTATAGTAGCACCTAAGAGCTCCAGTATTGGATTAAAACCCCAGCGCTTGTCACCATTTACAGAAAACTGCTCCCAAGCAAAAGTGGCAGCCCAAAAGCAAGCACAAACTTGCTTTGTTGCAAGAGTAGTAAGTGGACCACAGAGAAGATGTTGCTACCTCAAATAGTTACGTGGGGAAAATCCAAGAAGCATGTTGAAAGAGAATGAAATTAGACTTGCTACAAAGACATTTCCAAGAGCACTAAGTAAAACATACTAACATTCATGATATTTTTAAGATTGCCTTAAGGGGAGCACGCACAAAGATTTGTAGTGAACTGCCTGTCAGTTATATTCAGTAATATTTGCTGGCAATCTCTGAAGATCCTTCTTTCAGGGCTTGCTACGCATTTCTATTTGTTTGATTTGAAACTAATTCAACCCCAACCCTGCCATAGGATACAAAACCTGCAGGCCACACTGACATGCTAAGGGCTCCTAAACCCCTCCCTCTGCTCCAAAGCTACGACATCAGAGCCAGATTCCCCCAGCGCTAAGCACCAAACAAATGATCTCCCCTTTTTGCCCCTCTGCTACAGGCCTGACTCTGCGCAAGATGCAGGCAGTAGCAACACACAAACCAGCAGAGAAGCACATTGCAAAGGACATCAGAGGTAAGAATGCAGAGATTGAAAGGGGGTTACGCTGAGCCATAGGAGATACATCCACAAACCCAGTGTTCCTAACAGTTTCCAGCTCAGGTGGATGGTAAGCACCAACTGATGGGAACTGAGTGTTCACAATCAGCTTATAACATTATCCACCTAAGTTCTTATGATCCTCATTAAACACTCTCTACTGCCCACCATGGGAAATCAGTATACTGGCTCAGGTGGATCTGTACTGGTCCGGCACAGTACAGACACTCTTGTGGAAATTCAGGAAATCACAGCCCTTTCCACCCTGCTTCTTTACAGACCCTCTTTAAACTTCATCATTAAACAGAAACAAAAAGGAACACAGAAGCCCTATCGTCTCCATCACTTTAGCAGTTCATGTTTTATTTCTCAGTGAGCTCTCTAACCAGAAAACAACCAGTGGCAGACAGGAATGCAGAATATCCTGGCTCCAGAAGATCTCCTTACAAGTTACAACATTGATATCTGCTGCGACTAGCCGCCAGCTAGCAATTTCTGACTCTGGATCCAGAAGGAGAAACTGAAAAATTCAAACACATGAATCCTTTCAAAGTGCCGTGCAGATGAACAGAGTGCATCTTTCAGCAGGGGAGGTTCAGATTCAAACTGGGATTAGGCCACAAGCAAACAGAAGGCTGATGGACTCAACTTAGCCTCTTGCAAACATTTGCCAACATCATAAAACCATCACTCTGGTATGCACAGCACTTTCTTCTCAGAAGAAAGATCAGAATGGCATAAACTATTATAAATCGTGGCTTAGATGCAGTGGCCCAACTGGTGGACAGAAAGTTGACACCATCTGCTTTGCACTGACGTTCAGACAATACCATGCAAACCTCATTTTATAAGCATTGTGTTAGTTAAATTCAACCAGATTCTGAAGGTGAACCACCATGAAGAGTTGATAAGATTCTTTGTTCACTATTTACATTTGTGTAATTTAACCCATTTATCATAAATCCATGATTTCTTTCATTTGCAATTTAATTCCTAAAATTCCAGTAGCAGTATTTCTGCACAACTTACCTGCTATATACTGTAAATTTTATGAGGAGCCCTGACTCAAAGAAAGCTACTAACTCCACTTTGCAGATGAAAAGCTCAGCCACAAAAACATTTACTGAAAGCAACAGGGAAGCCTGTGGCTCCATGAACTGAATCATGAATCGAACTCAGATCTTGTCAGTCTTTTTCCTCCCACGACAGGTATGCACAAACCTCGGTAGCAAGCCAGCTTTTTAAAAGCCAGGCTTACAACAGGCTTTCTCTCACATTTACAAATGGGAAAGAGCAGACAATCCAAATACACAATGTGAAATACTAAATGCTAAATCTAAAAACCCTAGAACTTTCTGAGAAGGAAGGAAGCTCACTACGCCACTATTCAAAAGTTGCGTGTATGTCAGAATGTAGATACAAATAATTATTCCAAGGTATTGCTTAATTTTTATTATTTTCATCCACACAGTACATCTTGGTGTGAACAGCACCAACTGAATTTCCAGCATCACTTGTTCATCAAATCCCACAATACCAGGACCAGTGACACTTGATGGAACTAGTATAGTATAAAAGTAAAGCAGATAAAATGAAACACTTCTTCACACAGCAGGCAGTGAGCTTCTAGAGCTTGCTGCCCCAGGACACTGTGGAGAGAAACAACATCAGCAAGTGGAAAAAGGGATTAAACAAACTCATTGACAGCAAGTCCATAGAGTACTCGGCAGAGAGATCCCCCGGACATCCCTAGCGCAACAGCAGTAGATGCTGCAGGAGCAGGGGGGAATGGAGCACAGAGAGCAGCCAGACCCGTTTGCTCTCATTCAACAGCATCTTCCACTGACAGTGCTGGAGTTGGCACTGGATGAGCGGACGCTGGGTCTGACTGACCTGGGCATTCCCATGCTCTCAATACCTCTCTGCCCTTTCACAACATGGCAACAATACTTAAATCCCTCCTTCCCAGCCTTTTCAGCCACAGAAAGGAGACAAGAACATGCTTTTACTGTGAGAATCAACTTTTACGCAGTAATTTTATTACATAAAGATCTATGTAAGTGCCAAATTACCTGACGATCATTTAGTCCTTCAGCAGCTCTTTGTTTCTCAATAAAAGTAGTGAGGAAAAAAAGAAAATTAAAAGGAGTATGTATAAGGGATTCAACCCATCAGGATGCAGATTTGAGAATAAAACATACAGTGATCTTCAGTTCAACATCCATTACTATGTTTGCAAAGTTACAAAGTTCTTCTGTTCTTACTTTCACATTCTCACAGAAGAATGCATTATTAGCCTTGTGGGATGAATAAAAAGGGTAAAGAAGATTCATGTGCATGTTCCACAATATGTTTAAAAAGGTTTCAAGCAAAAACGTAGATGAAAGCCTAGCTCTCCCCTAAAGTCCAGGGGAAAAAGAGGTAATGTCACTCTACTTAATAGGTCTCAATGGAAACGTATTGATAATGTTGCAAAGAAGCTGCATCTGGCTCATGAAGTCAACTCATGAGAAGCTGGGAGAATATATTGTGAAGCAAGTACTATATGGCTGCCCTCTTCTAACGTTTCTCTGTAGGCAGCAGCTACTGGCTACTGTGAGACACAAGATTACTGCTGGACATGGAGATTTGATTTCATCTGGTATTGTTGTATTTGTGTTCGTACGCTAAGAGTTACTAGTAAATAGACCTAACTGAAAGTAGAATGATGTCATATCATCAAGTAATAATGCAGAGCCCTACATTTTAGGTGAAACATTTGATGGTGTCTCATGCTACACTGCAACATCAGAGCACCTCCTTTCGTTCATTCTGATGCCTACGGGAACATTGACTAACCTGGAAGAAAACCAAGAAAATCAAAACCAGAACCAAGCCTCAGAAAAGCAAATTTCTCAAGTTCACCTTTAAAGCTCGACCCTTTTACGAATCTTATCTAATTTGCACCAAAACTGTTCAAGTTTCTCCTCACCTTTCATCAAGATAAGAGGTTTCTTCACCAAGGAAAAGCAGTCTGAAATGGTAGCCTGGTTCAATGCCACAGGCAGATAGCTTTGCGTTGGAGTGCTTTAATATGTTTTTATATTGCATATAAAGCATGCAAACATAAACCAGTTTGTTGAAAACTACCCTCTTTGTGGAAGCTGGCTGTAATTCTGAACAAGTTTTCAATTTTCACACTGCTGCTAGGGTAAAACATTTTAAAGAGTTTAATTTTTACAGTGCCTTCAATGACACGAGATTATCTAACAAAGTAATGGTTAATCAATAGAGGGCTTAGTTGTCAGGTGAAACATATAACACACTAAAAGGGATTGATTGCAAGGCTCCTCCTTATTTACTGGAAGGTATATATTTAAAATGACACAAACTTGTTACCAAGCTGCATTCCTTTAACCTTGCAAAAGCCGTTTGAGAACAGTGTTAAGCAGCCCTATAGCAAAACAAGCTCTAATGAAAAAAAAAAAAAACCCACAAATATATGGCAGCACCAAATCATGTCAGAAGCAGGGGAACCACAA